TTATTATTATTATTATTATTATTATTATTATTATTATTATTATTATTATTATTATTATTATTATTATTATTATTATTATTATTATTATTATTATTATTATTATTATTATTATTATTATTTCGCCCCCATGCCCTGATGTGGGTCATTGACCTGTGCCCCTGGTGGGCTAATCCCGTAAAAAGAAAGTATCACTCGTAGGCTACAGCTGATTGCCATGTGTGTTGTTTGGAGTTCCTGTACATGTGTGTACAGTACGTTTCAAGAGTTCAACAGCATCATGAAATTTTTTTTTTCTGGCAGCAGTAATGATAGTTTCATTTTATGTTTTAAGCTTTATTCTACTTTTTATGCAACAATAAATACTGCATAGAGTGAACTGGCTACTGTCTCCCTAAACTGAATTAGGCCTAATCAACAGTGGCGCCAGATGCACTATTGACAAACCTCTCACTGTTTCCACACTACCTCCCTTCTTTCTCCCCCTCTTCCTTCTATTCCTCCTCCACAGTTCGTCCTCTTTTGTGGAGAAAGAAGATTAGGGGTGGAGGAAGGAAATTATAGTTCAGAAATTGAAGAAATTTAGGAGGAGGTAGGAGGGGGCGGTTTGACCGCTTTTCTATGGTTAGCTAAGCTAATAGTGTGTTAGGGTTGTGTCATGGGTTAGTTACTGTCCGTCGGCAAAGGCACTAGACAGCCTACCCTATCCCATATATGGGTGTTTTGAGGGCCATATTTCATATTCCGCCGACCCTACTGGAGGTCTCGGGAGGTTGTCTACTGTCTGGCCGTATAGATCGGGGTGGAAATGGTAACTTTTTGGGAACCACGTATGGTTGTTGTCGTTGTCTGGTGGGAGTCTTTGAAGGAGTTCTTGCCAGGGTGTGTAGCTGCTGGTTGATGGGTTTTTTCAGGTCTCTATGTATCTCGACTGTGGTTCTGGTGAAGGGGTATCTTTCACCTGTGATGAATTTCAGGGCTTCATTTTGGATCAGCTGTAATTTTAATAATCGGGTGGTGCTCATAGTATGAAGAGGTACTGATGGTTAAATTAATATCGGCATGATAGTGATGTAACCAGGCGGAGTTTTATTTTCTCAGGAAGCGCGTTAAAGCGGTATAGTTTTTTTTTCAACTCTCTTCTTGCCTTTTCCTTCCTGGTGTGGACGTGATGGGAGTAATCTTTCGTGGATATATTCAGGCCCAGGAGGGTGCCTGTGCTTTTATATTCTATCTGGGCATTGTTGGTTACTAATGAATGGGTTTTCCAAACTCTCTACCCCTCTCTCACTCCCATTAGTGAGGCAGCTAAAGGCAATTTTTCAAGAGAATCATGCAAATGGTGATACAAGCACCAAATTTGGCATGGTAATTCTCTAATGGTTACTAGTCAATTCTGCCCGATTGGCCATTTGAAAATCCAAGATGGCCGCCATATGACCTTCAAAAGTTGATTTTTCTTATAGAAATTGATGTAGTTAGTCAATCTGAGTGATCTTGGTGTCGATATGTATGTTTTCAAGGCATGCTCAGATGATTTTTTTATAGTTTTAAGTCCATTGTAACATTTTTATCCACATAAATAACACTTTTAGTAAAAAAATATAACAAAATAGAACTTACTAAAAAAAAAGTACTCACTATTAGCACTGGTTCCTGTGACTTCTCCTAACAGCATTTACTGCTGTTCACATATACAGCTGCAAAGTGCTGTGCAGGAAAGTCCAGAGCGAAAGCATTTGCATTTCTGGTTGCAGTCTTTCTTACAGGAACATTTGGTCAGCTCGTGACAGCATGTCGCAATCGGGGGAAGAGTCGTCCAACGTATCTGCCATGCCTCTCCCTTCTGCGTCCATCCCCAGTTGACAGGACTGCTGGTTTCTGGATTGGAGATTGTTGCCTGGGCCCAGATGATACCAACCTGGTAGGCAGCCCGCTTTGCATGTTCCTTGAGGGCTGCCTGGGTTGGTGGAATGGAGTCATATGGTCTCTACTTGCGGGAAAAGAGATTTAGTCTTGCCTCATCTATATCAGTGGCTGCACTAGATCTGTCGTGCATGAGGAAAACAAATCTTTCCAGGTTCTGCAGGTCAACATTAGCAACTGTTGTTGGACATTGGCTGAGTTTGGTGAATGTTTCTGAAACTTCATTACAGACATTCCATGCAGATTTCTTTCCTTTCCCACGGAAGTCGGACACAACGTCACAGCCAGTGAAAGCATGAAAGTATAGGATCCCACTAGCTTTCTTAGGCCCTATCGCAGAAACTACATCATGAACTGGAATCCATCGATGACTGGCTCCTTGGCCAAAGGCAATCCACATGTTATCAAGACCAAGCTCCTGTAGTGATGGCAGTACAGATACTGCTATGACCACCACGTCAGTGTCATTGGCTTTGATGATGAGGGACTTGCTACCTTCCATTGCTGCATCCCTAGCATGCACAAATATTCTTGTGTCTGCTTCCTCATGACAGCATGGAGCCACAGCTTCTAGGAACTTCTCTGTGTTGCTAATGTCATCTTCTCCCTTTGTCACAACCACCGTGCTGGTCGTCTGTGCTTCACACTTTTTCTCCGCGAGAAAATTGAATAGTTCTGTCTTGTATTTGTCATCTCGCAGAAAGCTTCTCCAGTTTTGGGGAGTCTTACTGGTTCCTGTAACTCTTCTCCTGATCCCCTGTCCTCGTTTCGACCTGGCTTCAGACTTCAGACTTTGACTTTTTGTACACATCAAACACTACGTGAAGCTGTTGTGCTTCTTCTTGCTCATGAGCATTTCGGTTTGTTCTTTCTCGGTTGTACAGGTCTGCCAGGCAGCGAGGGTGATACTTCAGTTCTTGTGCCACAACATCTACTGCACTTAGTTTGGCAAGGAGTTTTCCATCGCCAAGTGTCTTCGCACAATCATTCAATCTTTTATTAAGTTTCATTGTCATTTCATGTCTTATGTCATCTCCCGAAGCTTCTTCCTCACATAGAAAGCATTCTGTTGCTTTGGGGTCTCTGACCATTCGTGGTATCTTGCTACTGCTGCTCTCCTCTGTAGCAACTGCAGAGATTCGCGTTTTCTGAGCTCTATTTAACTTTGTGTTGTTAACAGAAGTCTGCAACTCTCATGATACTGTGCCTTGTTTCTCCTCAAGGTCTCCTCTATCCCATCATCTTCAACAAGTCTTGCAGGGTCAAGCTTGATTGGCAGTGCATTGATTGAATGAAAAAGAGGAATATTCCTTGCCAAGCTCTTGTAACCGTCATCTCCTTTCTTTGCAGGATTTGCATGTGGAGACTTAAGATCTTCCTTCTTATCCTGTTGACAAAGACAACACTTTGCCCAGTCAGTGAGGAATGATTTGTTGGTAGATTTTATGTCCATAACTATTTTTTGATCTTCAGGGCCGAGGGTTTATCCTTTTACCACCCTGATGACACTTTCTTGTATGGTATACAACTAGGTTCATGCCTTTTGCCCTACACCTAGTCCGATCGTTCATCCGGTGCCATTAGTCCCGTGCGATCTGTACACCATCCAGATAACTAAAACCCCGTTATCCTTGGCTCGGCTCTCCCGCGCTGGCACAACCTGTCAATTCAGGTGCGGCTGCTTAACTGATTTGGGGTTGGTTAAGCAGCATTTGGGACACTAAGCTGTTGCAGTATGACATGCTTTTTCTTAGCTGTCACTGAACCTCATGCTGGGTTGCACAGCAGTGATGTTTCCAGTGCGCCCTGGTAGTGCCTGACAATCACTCCCTCACATGCAGAGACCCTCTGCATGCTACCCTCACCTAGTTGGAAAAAACATAAAACCAGTACATAAAACCAGTCATAAATAAGACAAATATATATCTGAGAGTATCATAAATATAAAAAATCATCTGAGCATGCTTGAAAACATACATATCGACACTAAGATCATTTAGATTGACCAACTACATCAATTTCTATAAAGAAAATCATCTTTCGAAGGTCAATTTGGCAGCCATCTTGGATTTCCAAATGGCCAATCAGGCAGTTTTGACAAGTAGCCCCTGGGGTATGATCATGCCAAATTTCATGCTTGTATCACCATTTGCACGATTTTTCCATTATCCGCTCTACTACATGTATCTACCCCTTCTTCTCCATCTCCCCCATTCTCCTCTACCCTTCTCCTCACCCTCCCCCTATCTCCTTTCTTTCCCCTCTTTTCTGCCCATCTCACTCTCAACTTCCTCTTCACCGCCCTCTCCCCCTTACCTCCCTACCTGGCTCTCTCCCCCTCCTCACCTCCCCACATGATGCTCTCCCCCTCCCAACACACACACACACACACATGCTCTTAATTTGTTTACTTTTCTTATCGTTTTATATTATGTTTTATTTATCTAATAAACGACATTACAGTACAGGTATATAATATAACCATGTACTGTATGAGTAATTTAAGGGATTTTCAAGGGTATTTTTGAATTATATACGTGTTTTTGCCTCTTCAGACCGCCTCCGGTTCAGATGCGACACAACTGTACTGCATAATGTATAAATTACAATTAATTTATAAGCAGTTGTAATTCTGTATTACATTTACCTGTATTTGTACAGTAATTTGGCATTCTTTTAGTATTATTTTTGCCATTTTTTTAAAAGAATGAAAAATCGAGGTTCATGGTAAAATATGATTTCCAGGCAATTTCGGTGGCATATATAAAAACTCCACCATCACAACGACTTAAAAAACCTAAAAAGATGGTGAAAAACAGCACTTTCAATTATGAGAGGAAAATCGAACCTTTCATGAACGACTTTGAAATCATTGATATTAATATTGAAACAGTTGATTTAGCCAGAAAAACACAGATGCAGAGTCGATAATAATAACATATTAACATAGGCAGTGTTCAAAGATTTTTTTTAGCATAGTTTGTACTAAAGTAGAAATGAGATCCCTAGATAGCCCTATGACTACAGTAGTCAGTAGCAAAATTTTTAATACAGTATATTCAAAAATTTCTTCTCAGAGACCAGCGAACATAGCTGAAGAATATGATGGCGGATATTCAGGCCTTTGTGAGTAATGCTGTTGTGTTTCCTGATGAAACTTGCCCAGCTGTTATCCAGGTAAAGGATGGCAAGATTTATCATATTAGCAGGCATAGCACAAATGTGTCGGCATTCTCCAAGGACCAGGTACAGTACTGTTGTTTTGGGCAATATTTAAGGATAATAGTCTGGGTTATCCAGCCACCTTACAAAAAATTTCTGTATAAGAAAACTAATTCCTCACCTCAAGCTTAAAGTAAATCGGGTGTAGAAATAATTTTCATATTAATTTTCTTGTGCCTAGTTTTTCCCATAAATAAAGAGGCTGTCACCTGCCCACTTCATGAGTGACGCCATGTTGAGTGTGACAAATGGCAAACATTATGTACACCATTCTATCGATGCAAAAACTTTCTATATTAAACTTATTTGTCCATGGTGCTAATAACCTAAAATAATAATAGACATCCATCCTCGGTTCGGGAGGTTGTTTGGTTATTTCATGTATATCGCCAAACTAATACAGTACATGTAGTACATTATTTCTATATATATTTTTCCTGAGGTAGCTAGTTAACCCAGACCTTTATTTGTATGTGTACACTTTGCGGTATGATACAGTATTCAAAATTATGTTTATCCACAGTAGGTTGGTACATTTGTGGAAATGTTTTGGTACACCATGTCTCCAAACAGGCAACCTATAGCAAACCTATCCACCAATCACGTCCGTCGTTACACGACCAATAGTAGTCCAATACCCATTCATTCATAAATAGTGATACTACTACTGTTTACGTTGGTGCTTGGAGACACAGGTTACCACAGGGGGTGTAGGAACCCATTTCCACAACTACACATTAAATATAAGATAAAAATACTCTCCAACAATACTTTACTTGACATAAAAGGTGAAAATTAAAGCTCAGGGGCTCCATATTATAACTAAAGTTTTTAAGACAAAACCTCACACAGATTCTTAGTGTATTTCAATATTCAGTGTGGTGTACTGGTGTTAGTTGATTTACTTTGCTTATTTCCATTAATGTCTATAATTTTAGTCCATAAAAATTGCCAGAAGGAAAGTGCTGATATACTTTGCTAGTGCACCCCAAAATATATTCAAAAATTTGCATAATGGAGTAATGGACACATTTGTATCTTGTGGATGGGAGGTTATGTTATGTTGGTATTTAAATAACTTTGGGCTATGATCTATCTCCAAAATTACAATGTGATATTAAACTTGTTTGATAAAGTAATGGCCAAATCTTACCCTACTTAGGATTTCATGGTAAATAAGATAATATTTATGTTCTTCTTATGACTGCCTTAGTTTTTGAAAAGGGTCATTTTTGGTGTGATGATCTATACATATACTGTAATTATTTATATTCATGAAGTGATGTACAGTACAGTACAGTACAATACAATACATGGTAATGGGTACTGAATAGCCTTTTTATTTATTTTAGGTTGTAGATTGTGAGGCTCTTACTCTGATGCCTGGCATTGTTGATTCTCATGTCCATGTTAACGAACCTGGTCGTACAGCTTGGGAAGGCTATAACTCAGCCACTCAGGCAGCTGCAGCAGGAGGGATCACCACCATTGTTGATATGCCTTTGTAAGTTATCAGTTGTTTTTTAGAATTGGTAACTTTATGATAAATTGTTTCCTGGACAGATTTGATTTTTGTGGACAAATCATGGAAAAGTGGGTAAATGAAAGGCTCTGTAGTTCTTTTCCAAAAACGATTTTTTTCAGACTACTCTTTTCGAACTACCGTAAATCTACAATGCAACAAGAGAAATATGGAAACTGTTTAGGATATATATATATATATATATATATATATATATATATATATATATATATATATATATATATATATATATATATATATATATATATAATCGACACTCAGAAAATTCAGTATTTTTTACATGTTTCTTCTGTATTTCCGACCAGGAAAACGTAGTAATTTGAATTACTTTTTTTGTTCTGTAAAATATTTCAGACACTCTCTTTCTCTGTTTCAGTTTGTTTAATTATCAATATAAACTGACATTTTATCATACTATATACACTTCATGGTGCAAAGACATTTAAAATTCCATATTAATGCTGTTATTTCTATATGTAATTACTGAATATGCGGTTGGCGGTTGTTTGTGCTTCACGTTCGTCGTATGTCCGTGTTTGTTTACATTATTTCAAAGAGCGCCACATCACCACATATGGGGTGGGCGCTGGTGGAGTGGTACCGCTCTTGCCTCGCAAGCAAGATGTCACGGGTTCGATTCCCGGGCCGGCGGAAGTTGTTTGGACATTCTTCCTAGTCCCCTTGGTCCCTGTTCACCTAGTAGCAAAGTAGGTACCTGCTGTAAATCGAAAGTTGCGAATTCGTATCCAGGGACAAGTTGTTGGAGCTTCTAATAACTTCCAACAATCTGTTAATTCAACAGATATGTTATGTAAAAATATATACAGAATCTCTGTAAATTATACAGAAAATGTTTGGCAACAATATAACTCGTGAATTTTCTGTAAATCTTACAAGATTTTGTTAACAGTATAGCATAGAGTGAGAGATGATGTGAAGGTTGTAATATCTAGTGTTTGGCTGAGGCAGAAAGAAGATATAATCTGGGAAACTTATTTTAGTATTGGGTGTCTGTGTAACCAACTAATTTGACAGTACCTGTACAGGAAGTAACATAATTATTCAAATGAAGAGCAACTTACCTTATAATGTAAACATAACCACATTCACATGACCGGTTATTTTTTGTATTTGGAACCTTGAAAGATAGCTATACTATTAGACTTGAATCAGACAGAATTAAAAAATTGGTTTGGCCTCCCAGATGTTCCTGATAAATATTAATTAAATCATTTAAATGGTTACTTTAATGTTTCACCACGATGCACGTTTTCGGCCGGTTTCTCAAAAAGTGTTAAATTTAAGCCAAAGAAATGAAATTGGTGATTGGTTCTCTCACACTATACCTGAGCCTCGCTTATGCGAATTCGCAATAATGTGTGGGACCTACTTCTACCCACAATTCATTTAATGCAAAAAAATATTTATTATTATTATTATTATTATTATTATTATTATTATTATTATTATTATTATTATTATTATTATTATTATTATTATTATTATTATTATTATTATTATTATTATCATTATTATTATTATTATTATTATTATTATTATTATTATTATTATTTTTATTATTATTATTATTATTTTTGTATTATGACAGCATTATATTTGAATACAACATATGAGATATTTGAGGAGGGGTTTATTAGAGGGTTCCGTATAAAGCACCCCCACTCCCCCATTGAGTCCCGATGATCCGGTGAACCCCCCCACCCCCTTCCTTCCCTAGACGATGTTTCCCAAACTGGGTTGGTCACCAGAGAAGGTCCAGACAAAATGGCTCCTATCCTGCTGCGCGTTTTGAGAGCAGACTGGCAGCATCATTAATTTCACTTTTACAAATAATCCCAAATAATTCACAATTTTCTAATAAGCCCTTGCGGGTTGGGGACCACTATTCTAATCCTTCATTATTCTCTGTTGATGTTATGCGGGCTGGGCTGGCAGGACCATGTGGTTCCAGCCACATCGCTCCACAACAATAACAATGACTCACACGATACCAAGATATGTTTTCTTATTTTTAAATAATATTTTCCAAGATTCGTGTCGTTATTCGGACTTGTCGTTGTTCAGGTGTCCAGTATTCGGTGTGTTTACTGTGTTTTCACTATTTCTAAGCCATCAGACTTCAGGCAATCTTTCAGAGTTCTCAAAATATTATCCTGTAGTATGATGGTTATACTGTACTATATAGGCACCAATAGGGTAATGATAATTAGCATGTGCATACCATCTTCATCCCGAACCCAGAGATGAAATTAGGTTTCAGATTTTTTGCTTCATTCTTTTGATATGTCCATAAATTGTAGGACATACAGTATTTTGGTAAGGCATGTATACTTGTTTAAAGTTAAATACAATACAGTACTGTATAGTGTTTGTATCTGTATGCCAAAAAAATATGTGACAGTAGCCAATCACTTCCTTTCACATGAATAAAGATAACTACAAAGTAGTCATTGTCCATTTTTTTGAGAGTGATAAGATATACAGTCTGGAACAAAAGCTCTCTCCATTACTGGTCCCCCCAAGCTGAATCAGTATCAACCCCAAATATAAGATAAAACAACACACCCACACCAGGTGATAGTCGGAATCAGGGAAGTCAGTTTAGAAACTCATTCATATACTCAGTCTCACTACGGGGGGATACCTTTGTTCGCAACTGTACTATTGTAGATAGTGAATGAACTGTATTTAATTTTATTGACACAGAATATATGTATTGATTTCTTTACAACTCATTTAATTTCAGAAACTCCATTCCACCAACAACCACACTACAGGCATGGGAAACAAAGATGAGAGCAGCAAAGGGCCATTGCTGGGTTGATGTTGGATTTTGGGGTGGAGTTGTACCAGGTAAATAAATGGTGATGCTCAACAGTTTCCACTTTTGTAATGTTCTTATGAAAGAGATATATGTACTTAATATTAGGGTGGCTAAAAATTTTGAAATGAGTAATTTTGAAAATGCAATACGTACTGTATTTGCTTGTACAGGCACAACCTATTTTATAGAAGGTTCCATTCTTAAAAAAAAAAAGTAAATGGAATTATTGTACATTTTTCCAAATACTCCTATTATAAAAGCTGAGATATGTTCCCAGGAAAAAAAAAACCGCATAGTAAATTGACACTGAATGTGTTTTGTTTTTGCAATTTTTGGGGTAAACAACGACTCTAACATTTATTTACATGCAATAGTAAGCTTATATAATCCAAATTAAGTACTGTATACTTATGATGAATTGGTGTTATTGGTTACTGTTACTGGCTTATATAGGTATAACACTGGCACCACAAATCACTTGAAATACATATACATTTTGGATATGAAGGCACAATCAAATCCAAATAAAATTGGAAAAGAATGCTTGGCATCACCTTTCCAGATTCAAACAATATCAGATACTGACACTAATATAGTGTACACTTGAATCACACATCGTGAAGAACTATAAATACTGTACAGAAAAAGATTGACTCTTCCAAAACACCAAAAATATGGTTCAGACAAGAACTTAAGGAAATATCATTGGCAGAAGGGGAAACTCAGTTATTACCTTTATGGCACTGTAAATTACTGTATGGGAATAGGCCAAAAAATAATTAATTAAATAAATGAAAAATTAACATCAAGGTTTTTGCTCGTAAATCAAATTGTAAGACCAATTTTGGGGGGTAACTGCGAATTTTAATTAAACTAATCCTCGTAAATTGGGGTCTGCATGTACAGTACTGTAGTTATGGTACAAATGTCTTAAGGACAGTTCACAGCAAATTTGGTGAGAATCTAAATTTTATAAGGAATGGCTAAATCACGTCACTTATACAGTAGTACAGTACCTTGCTTTACCAGACTAATTATTGCATAAGCCAGTCAAAAACAGCAGAAATTCTGGTACTATGTAACTAAGTTTTAGCCATATCAGTACACTTCCTTCACCTCCTAGTCCAGTAAGTTACATAAAAAGACTTACTCCACTTGCAAAGATACTTCCATATATATATATATATATATATATATATATATATATATATATATATATATATATATATATATATATATATATATATATATATATATATATATATATATATATATATATATATATATGTATGTGTTAAATAACGAGTAATTTATCCACATTATTTTGGTAAATAAAAAAATGAAAAACAAGCACTTAGCCATATGCATATAGTTACACGGAAGAAGGGAAATAAGGATGAACTATGGTTTTGATGGAAACAATGTGCTCTGGGACGATGCTCACAATGACGAATGGGAGAAACCTCTTTATGAAACATCTTACCTACTAAGGATGAAGCATAATGTTACAGAACACACACACACACACACACAGTGCAACTTTGTGTGACGCGATGTCTGACTTGGGGTGGCTTTGAGCGAACACACACAGTGCAACTTTGTGTGACGCGTTGTCTGACTTGGGGTGGCTTTGAGCGAACCATACACTTGATATTACAATTTATGTATCCTTCCTGTCCATGATTTACAACAATAACTGTAGGTAAAAAGTTACAATATTATACTAATAACACTGTCATGTATTGATACTATGACTAGTTACCAAGATACAGAGCACGATGAACATAAGATGATAATAATAGTGAAGTCTGGAAGGGTTCATATCATAACTTGTGTGTTCGTGCGTATGTTGCCTCCATGTGCCCAGGTGGGATGGTCAAAGTATTACACTATAAGTGTGTCAAATGAGGAGTGACTGATCCACATGTAATTTAAGGTTTTTGAAATATGTAGTTAAATTAAACACGATTTTTCATATAGTTACGCGAATGATGGGAAATAAAAGATATAGATGGGGTGTGGTGGAATCATTGTGGTCTGGCCACAAGCGCTGTAAACGTTGTGTGGACTCACTGGGTGGTTTGGAAGTGTTTATTTCCATTCATACTTTCGTAACTACAACCTGTGGTAATTTTTTTTCGTGTTCATATATAATGAAGATAATGCAGTGTATAAAATGCCATATACAATATTTATTCATAATGTCATCTATACAGCTGTACTATGACTGTGTGTGTTCGTGCGTGTGTTGCCTCATGATAGTTAGAGTGGGCCCCCGTCCAGAAAGGACACTGTACTAACCTCCAGCACCGACCCAGGTGGGCTAGAGAATATGGTTTCCGAGTGTACATGTCGTGGGTATACGTCACCCGAGGATACGAGGTGTATTAAGTTCACACCGATGCTATGCATACAAGATATTTCCTTTCAAGTACCGTTTCTGGGTCACTTCCAACACCTCACATAGTTCTGATACATTTATCTTTTTTCCAGATCATTGTTCTCATGTATTTTCATATGATATCTGCGGAAGTTATGTTTGCTAAGCGTTAACAGACGTAAATACTGTAGTATGACCTTCAAACCACGATCTACACTTAGTCCTAAAGTACACTAGTTCGGATCAACTGGACTTTCCCAATCATCTTATAGATACCTTGAGTTCTCCTTAATTCTATAACTGTACCTGGGTACAATACAACACATGATCAGTAACATTAAGTAGGTGATTTATCCTTTATCAATGTTTTCCGTTTTCTAAGATTCTACAAGCGCGGTGGATTTGAATGTTATATAGCGTAATATGAATTAAAGGTTTTTTTTTAGGAATGAATATGACGTGTGCAGTGCACTGAAGTTCTCAGGCCATTGCGAGAAGAAGGTAAGTCAGGCAAATAAATTATTGGGTCTTATAAGAAGGCCATTCAGATATCAAGAGTGAAGTGCATCCCCATCTGGATATGCTAGAGACTGTCAGTTGGTTGAAAATGTTCAAAGGAGGGCCACCAGACTGGTACCTGCACTTCGGCACCTCATCTACCCTGAGAGATTGGAGCGCCTGAACTTGCCTAGCTTATACTACTAATGTATTGTACTGGAATAACATTGCTATAGGAGAAAATTACTTGTATTTTGCATCTATTTTTTTCTTCTCAAACTGAAGATAATATATTTTGTTACCTTTTACTTAATGTATTTTTATTTTTTTCCAGGAAACTCATCTGAACTCCGCAATATGGTTAAACGGGGAATATGTGGCTTCAAGTGTTTTCTCATACACAGCGGTGTAGATGAATTCCCTAGTGTCAATTCTGCACAAGTGGAAGAAGCTCTCTTGGAACTTAGTGGCACTCAGTCTGTTTTATTGGTTTGTATATACACTGTACAGTATCCTTGTAAAAGAATTATTTGGCTAGTTGCATCATCATCATCATCATCACATGGTCAATTTCCATGTTGTGTGGGTTAGCTGTGCTTATCTTTTGGCAGCTCTCCAAGCTGCAGGGTCTCTTACAGTCTCTCTCCTGGTTGCCATCAGGCAAATTTGAAGCAAGTTTTTGCAGCCGGATGTCCTTCCTATCACCAACCCCCTTATACTGAGTAGGAGCTGGGAATTACATATAGGTACCATGCTTTTTATTAGCACTTTTGTTTTATGTGCATTAATTTGGGACAATACTTTTATTTATGAAAGAAAATTCCCAATACAATAATGAAATTTATGAAAAGCCCATTTCTATCACAAGCTGCATGATTTGCTTGAGGCTGTTTCATGTTTATGCATGATAAGACATGAAGTAAGAGTGATACCTAAAATCTCAATGCTCTGTGATGCTTGGAGGATGATGATGTAAAAAATTATGTTGAACTGTAATATTGAATGAAACTGGGTTGGATGCTTCCCACTCAGCTGTAGAGATGAGGTTGTCTCTTGTCTAGTATTCAAAATTTCAGCTTGTGGGACTGGAGCAATCAAAGAGAACAATCTATAGAAAGTTGACTTCTGTTTAGAAGTTGATAGAACTGTTTATCATTGAAACCAGATTATTACTGCATAATAAAAAAAAAGTTGATGCTAATATGGAGCCCTGAGGAACTTCAACATTAATTGAATGATAGAGTAAAGACCGTACATGACTTTACACACAATATGACCAGATGGAAAAGAAGAAACTACTGGGACTAAATAGGAAAGGCCATGAGAGGGCAATTTTTCAAGTGAAGATCAGTCCCAAACTTGGTCAAATACTTTGGATATGTTTCGGTTTACTGCAGTCTGTTAATTGGTCAATTAAATGTGTGAGGAATGATAGATGGTCAGCAGTGAAGGATCTGATGTAGAAGCCACAGTGTTGATCATTTAATAAAGTGGTATTTTCAAGGTATTTGAAAACTTGATTATTGATTGCTGTCTAAAATATCTTAGCGTCACTAAGATAGCACTTATACTTATTCATTCATTCATTACAGGAACAGTACTGGAACAATTGAACCATTTGGAGAAATTGAGACATAATTGGAATATGTTATTGGATATTAATTCCCCTCATCAGGACCATGATGATATGGATATGATAGAATATGGATAATAAAAAAAGAAAACCAAGAAAATAAACAAATAAATTCCAAAGTTTCCCTCAGTCAGTACAATTGTAAATGACAGTTGCACATGCACAGATATTTTTGGGGTTGGCTTTGAGAAGAGAGAGTTGGTTGTCAGTGGTTAGAAGAGCCAAGAGGAGATGAAACTTTGAGAGAGTAATAGTGGCTGTGTTGAACCGATGTTTAAGAGTACTTGTATATGAGAAGTCAAAGAGCTCCTCCTTCACAGTATCTGGGTTAGAGTGAACAGAGTATGTCAACTGTTATGTGTTGTGGTGGTTGAAATGACCCAGCAGTATGAATTTGGCTGTGGGGTGGTGTTGAATGTTAAATATATTGTCAGTGAGTGTCAGTTAGACTGGGCACTACGAGAAATATTATAGAGCGATAGACACAGCATAAGTATTTGACAGCATTAGGAGAGTTTTTAAAAGGAGAAATCAATTTGGGGAAATGCGAAGTTAAATCTTATGTTGACAGCAATGTCTGAATTTGAATAGCAGCAGAAATTATCACCATCTCTCAAATTTGATAAGCATTTATAACCAGGAAAATTCACGTGAGAAGATGGGGAAAAGGAAGAAAATTTAGTTTCTGTAAGGAAAAGTAGATCAGGTTTATCTGATTGCAAGTGGTGGTGAATGGGGTCATGATTGGTGTTCCAGTGACAAACATTGTAATAACTTATTTTGATACATTTGTTTAGGCATTTGTGTTGGTCGCTGTTTGTTTGATAGGAGCATGTCTAGTGTGTTGAGGGTGGTGTGTTGTGTCGCCTGTTGATGATCAGGGAGGACCTATGAAGAAAGTCCTAGCTGATTGGTATTTGACTTTATCATATTTAGGGTTTTGTTGATGTAAGCAACAATTGGAGACATGTGTGCATATACAGTACATGGTGATTGAAAGGAGGAGGAAGGCTAACCTGGTGACCAAGTGTAATTGAGAAACCAAAAGCCGACAATGTTCATATGGAGGAAAAGGGAGGGATCTTGGCATCCCATAAACCCTCCTAAGTCACGACAGTAGTCATTTCTGGATAGTTTTGGCCATAGCCTTCGATCTATAAGATAAATTAAGGTTTGAGTTTTTATAATCATTGAATTCCATCTTTACCTCAAGGAAAAATGATTTCCTTGATATTAGTTACCAGCTGACCAGTTACCCTCCTCCATGTATTCCTCTCTCCCTTATTATACTTTCAATTACTGTATATTGTAACAATCTCATTCTTCTCATAATTTTGAAATTGAATTTGCTAGATTCTTCTGTACTGTCTAATCTTCCATAATGTACACCCACTAAAAAAATATTCGCCACCCTTACGGCGTGATACAATATGACACGGGTGCCGAATAATTTTTTAGTGGGTGTACTGTCAAGGTTCATTCCTCTCCAAGACCTTGCTCCTTCTAACATTCACCTTCAATTTTCTTCTACCAAACACCATCAGAGTCATTCACCACATGCATTTCCTGATCATCCTCTGCAAAAATCATTGCATCGTCTGAGAAGATACCATATTACCAATTGTTCTGTTATGCTATAACTTGTTAACACCCAATTTTCATTATATAGTTATGAAAATTTTTACAGATGGATAAACACTTGATCAAAAGTTCAGAATTTTTATTTAAATGAATAAGGATCGGCTTACAATAGTAACATTGTCCACATGGATAATGTATTTTGGTGTTAAGCAGTACGAGAGCCTTGGCAGTGACAGGCTATGCCAATGGAAGTATATTATGGTAGTTCTCATAGGTCATAAATCTTGTCCTTTGGAAAAAAAAAAGGAATTTCATCCATTAATCCTTCATTTTGTTAATCTTGAACTTCTTTCCAATTTTCAACAGTTCCATGCTGAGTGTGACATAGGAGACACTATCACTGATGCAGGTAAATGAAATGCACATTTCTAGTGGCACATAAAGAATTCTCAATCGTTTTCTAATACAAATTGGTCTCTTTTTTCCCTATATGATTAAGTCATTGTCTGTTATAATTTTAAGATTTTATGTATAAAGTGTATAAGCAGCAAGCCTAATAGGCTTAATACAGTTCTCACGGTGGCTTATAAAACTGAATTTGATTTTACTGAATTTCATATTCATACCAGATTCCAAAAGAAGCGGTAGGTATGAAGGTATCCAAAGAAGGAAGAAGCATGAGGAGTTTTTGTTGCTGATTATAAACATGTACACTCGCTCCAAATAATGTCTTTATGATTTTGTGTGAGACAATATGACATAACGAATGAAGGATTTTGACAACCTTCCACAAAGACACCTTTAGGAGCAAGCGTACACTCTGATCCATTCATTTGTTTGGCATCAACTACAAGATAATGTTATCAGAACTAGTCTATTAGACTCAATCATACTATCACACTGAGTGATTCTGCTCAACGTATACTTTGACATTACTGTGCACGCATTATCCTTTTGTTTGTTGTCTGAAATGATCTTTAGGTGTCTAATCCTAAAATACCAATAAATTTTCAAATTAACCATGAAAGAAAAGAAGCAATGAATTGTAAAATATGAAGAATGGACGGTAGTGACGGCAAAATATGTGGCAACGTCACGACACACACACACTACTACTACTACCACTTTGCTGTCACTCGGAATCGAGTATGACGATCATCCAGCTTTGATACAATGATATGAGTTATTAAGTTTGTCACCTAGGTTGGTGAGTTTTGAGGTGACTAAAGAGTCCGATACGGGACCCGCAGGGTCGTCCACATTCGTTGCACATGTGGAGGGCTGCATCTAGTGCGTTGGCGCTTGTCTGCCTCGGTTTGCAGTCGGGCTAACTCGAAAGTGTTGACACCTCGTGTGGTGTTCCTCCAAGCGTTACGATGTGGAGTAATCGACTCCCAGGAGAGGGGGTCGATTTGGCACATTTTCAATTGCCCGCCAGCGTTGCGATTGCTATTCGTTAGGTGACTGTAAAGTAGCTGCTTTGGCAGTCTACTGTCGTCCATGCGGGTGACATGGCCAGTCCAGCGTAGTTGTTCATGGATAATGGTAACCTCGATGCTCCTACAGTTGGTGTCAGCAAGAAAACTAGCATTTGTAAGAAAACTGGCATTTGTTCTCTTGTCTTCCCAGCAAACTCGGAGGATGATAAGTAGACTACGTTGGTGAAAGTTTTCAAGTGCCTTGAGGTGCCTCCTGCATGTGACCCATGTCTCACTGCCCTATAACAGGGTGGGAAGGACCACAGCTCGAAATAAGTGCAGCTTTGCAGATAATTTCAGCTCCCTATAGCTGAAAACACGGTTTCGGAGTCTGCCAAAGGCTTGAGATGCACATCTGATCTGATAATGAACCTCTTCATCGATATCCGCAGTGGTGGACAGGTGGGATCCGAGATACCAAAAGTAGGTAACATTAGAGAGGGTAGTACCATTAAGCTGGATGGATGGTGGAGGTGTGTTTGAACCAGGGGCAGGTTGAAAGAGAATCTGAGTCTTAGGTACATTCACCTCAAGCCGAAGTGTGCATAGGCATCTGCGTAGGTGTTCAGGATCTCCAGTAGGTCGTGTCAGTGTGAGCAACCAGGGTGAGGTCATCTGCATACTGAAGTTCAGTAATGGGAGCTGCCGACAGCTTTGTTTTTGCGTGGAGTCGTCTTGTGTTGAAAAGACCCACCTTAACCCGGTACTCGATGTCCTCCCCGCCGGCTAAATTGGCACTGGCATTAGTAAGGAAGGCAGCCAAGAAAATGGAAAAGAGAGTTGGTGCCGGTACACACCCTTATTTAACCCTGTTTGGATGGGGAAGAACTCAGACTGGGTGCCGTTCTGCAGGACACTGCCGTTCATACCATCGTGGAGTTGCCTCACAATGGCGATGAATTTTGGTGGGCAGCCAAAACGGCTGAGGGTCCACCAGAGGGCTTCCCTGTTGACCGAGTCGAAGGCCTTGGCTCTACCATGTTAATATTATGATTTTTAATTTAATCTGTGTTCTGGCTAAATAAACTGTTTCAATATCAATATCAATATCGTTGGAGGAGGGCTGACTGTACAAAATTTTTATTCTTTTTATATGGTACTATCGTGCACAAAAGTCGTGTCCACTACCCAGCCAGTGAGGTTTCGAATAGCCTTAAGTCTGAAGTTTCGAAACAGCTGGGGGAAATGCTATGGTCGGCCAACAGATGTCGCCCACTGTAGTGTGTGTGTGGGGGGGGGGGAAGAGGAGGTGGGGTTAGTCTAGTAACAGGCTGTGTGTAGGTGGAGCATAACATCGTGAATTCCGCAATCACTGATAACAATAAGAATGTCATGAAGATAGTTAATATTATTAAGCATGGTGAGACATGTGTAACGGGTAAATAAAAGCACTACAACGACCATATCTCTGCCGTTCATGGCTACGACGGTGAGACTGATGGGGTAATTAATTCTCCGTGACTACCATGGTAGTCACGGAGAATACACAAGTTGTTACCAAGGTTGGCGCCACCCACACCAGGGGAAGGTGATATCGAACACTGAAACATGCCGAGGTCTCATTCCTACCATCGTCGTCACCAACAGGTAAGTCACATTAATTTGTCAGCATAGCCCATGTCGTCCTTATACTATTGCAGGGTGTCCCATGAGTGACAGCAGATATTTGTAGAGGTGAAAGAATATGTGATATTGAGTTGAAAATCTTCTATTCACATAAGCATTTTTCGGTTTACTTTAGGCGTGAGGTGGGTTGTAAAAATTACGCAGGGCAAAATTTTTCCGTTATATTTTATTTTTCTTACCAATTGCAGCCATACTGTGTGCTGTTGTAATCCTTATTGGTGGATTACAGAAGGCCTATTAATAGCGTGAAAATCCGTCTGAAGATACTGTAATGTTCCATAACTTGCATTAAACAACATCATACGTTCATGAGTTCCAACTCCGCGCCTAGCCTCCCCACCCCGCCTCTACCCACCCAACTATTAAACCTCATAATTTGAGCATCGTGGTTACCACACCTAAACACATTCCCCCTCCACCATCCCCCCACTCCACTCCTCCCTCCCCCACCTCTTCCCTTCATCCCTCCCCCAAGACTAACGTCAATCGAACATTCCATTTCATCACATTACCTTCCCCTGCATTCCCCAATCCCCCTCCCCCTATTCTACCCATGGTGACGAATTGGACTACTGTAATGAACACTCACAGAACCGACGACATGGCTCCTCCCCCTTGTATTTAGAGTTACCGGTAGTGTTGTAATAGCACGAGTATGAACTTATTTAAGACCAGACTTGACCATCACTGGCGTAAGTTTAGATACATTCTGGAACCAGTGAATATTCTTTGTAAAAAAATTAATTTTAAATGAATTATTTATAGGAGATAAGTATGTCATAGCTGAAAATTGTCAAAGAAATACGTAAAGCAGTGGAAAACCATATATTTTGATTATCGGCGAGGCTAACTACCTATAAACAATTAATATTTGACGATTGGCAAAAGTCCTGGGAAAATGAACCAACAAGTCATAAGCTAAAAATGATCAAATCATCAGTTTATCCTTAGTCATCATCAAAACAATCCTCTCGACATCACGAAACTATTCTGAATCGTCTAAGAATTGGGCATACGCGATTGAAGCATGGGCAACTCATGTCTTCCCCTAATGGAGCCCCACCTAGTATATGCTCCAACTGCCGAACACAAATAACAGTCCAACATATTCTCATTGAATGCCCTATTTATAATCAGTATCGAACAATGTGCTTCACTACCCCTACAATGTAAGATATTTTAGCAGAGACCCCAAAATTTTCGCTAAGTTCAGTTTTGACCTTTTTGAAATACTATAATCTCCTCCAAACAATATAACACTAAATTATAGAAACACAAATATATGTTAACTAATCCCTCTGGCCAGCCCTAGGAGAGACTCAAATGGGTGTCAGTGGTCTGGTTAAACTAAATCTTGATGATGATGATGATTATCGGCGAATGTTCACTCTACAGTCGCAGGGGTGGTGGTGGAGGTTTGGGGGTGGGGGTGGGGAGGATCCACTTGCAGTTCACTATGAATACATGAAATAGGAAGGGTTTCTTGGGCAGTAGATCCAAAAAGATTTACCAAAACGTTATGTCAGAGTAATAATACTTAACCTAGGTGTTACTAATACCATTAATTTACTCTAGTATATAAAAGCCTGCATCAGTTACCACAACATAATATTACTCTGCCATTTCAGATGTGCCTGCAGGACGAGCAAATTCGTCGGCAGTGATTGCTGAGCGAGGTCAAATCATCGGGATGTGGAGAGCCGGGGCAACTGTGCCGAACATTGCTCTCGAAGTGGGGAGGAGCACCAAGACTATTAGGAGGTGCATCCGCCGGTGGGAGGAAGAGGGCTCAATGGAGACGAAACCTCGAAGCGGGAGGCCACGAGTAACGTTGGCAAGGATGGACGCCATGATCGTGGCAGCTGCAACGGCATATCCAATGCAAACACCAGTGAAGCATACAAGAAATCTGGGCCTCAACTGCCATCACATGATGACGAGACGCGAAGCCGGGATCGACTGCCATATTCCAGCTCACAAAGGGTGGCTAACACCTACTCACAAGAAGTGTCGACTCGGCTTTGCATTGGAACACCTTCCACATAGAGAAGAATACTGGAGAACCATTATATTTACCGATGAAACGGTGTTCAGGTCAGTGGCAGCCGAAGCAAGGCAGTGCTGGCAGCCCCCCTGAGAAACACATTCAACATCGCACAGTGAGTGGTAGGGTGTCAGTGTCATTCTGGGGGTGGATGTGGGCACATGGGCCAGGTGAACTGGTCAAGATCAATGGCCTTTTCACTGGTGAGCAGTATGTAGACATCCTGGAGCAAGTGCTAATTCCTACAGTCCGGGCTATGGCAGTTCCAGCCCCCCACACTATCAGGCTGGTTCATGACAACAGTCCCATTCATACCAGCAACATAGTGAAGGACTACCTCCAGGATCACCCTGAAATTGAGGTCATCGACTGGCCAACACTAGGATGTGATATTAATCCGATTGAACATATTTGGGCCATGATGAAACGTGATTGGGATATTGGGGAGCAGCGAACCTGTGCAGCAATAGAGGCCAAAGCTTACGACGTGTGGGAGAGTATACGTCGACGACCAGGGGTGTGCCTGAAGCTGGTCGACTCCATCCCTAATCGCCTTGATGAAGTCCTGAATGCAATGGGTGGCTGGACCAAATACTAAGATGTGTGTATTGGTGTATTGTTTGGATTTTAGTATTGTTTGTAAATACAATTAATATATATTAACTCACCTACAGTGTTATCTTAAATCCATGTCCTTAATGATGTCTTAAACTATATCGCATGAAAATTCATAACAAAGTAACTTAACAGCCACAAATTATGTATTGTGTGGTATACAATGATCTGTATGACACGTCGTGGAATGTGTTGTCTTATAACACAATATAATTATATAGTTACAATTGCTACCATCATTGAAATGCTCATGATGTTCAGCACACAATATTAACGGTAACTGAGCACACTCCAAAATATATGAAGCTTGCATATTGTGGTGGGGTGTTTAAACACTGGAACTTGGAAGAATTGGGACAGTCACCTAGATTAAGTCTGAATACTATTTTACAATACTGATAACTTTTTCACTCCACTCTTTTTAACATAAGTATATAATTATATAATATTGCATATTATCACAAATATTTATTAAGCAAAGGATGGGTGGAATATAAATAAATATTACCATATTCTCTTTGTCGGAATAACAACAAAATTGTGACGTGTCGCTGAGTAAAACTAGCTGACCGAGGCCCTTCATCCTGATCCTTGCATATTTCACCTTTATCCTTAATATATTCCATTCTTTAAAGTATCATTGTGACCTGAGCGGCAATAAGCACCCAGGTCACTGCACCTGTTCCATGAATTCATAACCATGAAGAAACAGCTGTAAGACAAAACGTAGTTAAAAAGGCAGCTTGAAATTATGGTGGTATAAATAATAAATAAACCTGCCTCTCATCCAGCCCCCACCTCCTCTATCCCCCCCCCCCACACACACACACTACAGTGGGCGACATCTGTTGGCCGACCATAGCATTTCTCCCAGCTGTTTCGAAGCTTCAGACTCAAGGCTATTCGAAACCTCACTGGCTGGGTAGTGGACACGACTTTTGTGCACGATAGTACATATCTCAGCTTTTACTATATGAGTCTCGGTAAAAATGTGATTCGATTTACAAAAAAAAAAAATATGAAAGGTGTTTAAAGAACAGAACCCTTTCATAAATATGGGAATTTCTAAGTTATATTTAGCTATATGTAAATATTATTATTTTTTAAATATGAAACACATTCTTTCGAGAGAATAACATAAAACTGTTTGACAACTTTCCATATCAATAAAAAATATCATATTAGCTCAGAATATTAAACTGAGATTATTGAATTGCTTATGGTTCAATGCTATTTTAAACATTGAGTTTAATTTCAGACCCATCAGAGAAGTACTGTACATTCCTCAAGTCTCGACCACAAAAAATGGAAGAGTTAGCAATAGAAAAAGTCATCAGTCTGTGTGAGAAGACAAAGGTATGTATATTTTCATTAAAAAAAATGCTCTGTATTTCATACCATATAAGATGCACTTCTTTCCCTGAAAATTTCTCAAAATTACTAGAATCTTTTATACTAATGGTTTGCCCTAGGGTGATGTGGTTGCCACTCGATAATACTAGACTAAAACCCAGCTTCCCCATTTACTGATTACTAGACAACTCAAGAGTGAAATATATGAGTTATAAAAATTATTAAATAAAGAAAACAAGTAAAATAGAATAATCTCTCCGTTAGTCGGAATCTTCGATCCACTGAACTGTCCAATAGCCAGAATTTTTTTGAGCATTCTGAGAAATTCTGGGAAAAATTTCTCCATTGTCTGCTGCCATTGTACAAGCTTGTTTGCTCACTCACTTCTGTTTTTGCATACAATCTGTGTTGTACAATACCGTACATTACTATACCAGCATATAATAAGCCAAGAATACAATTAAAACAGTGTTATGACATAAAAAGTGATTACAGATGTGTATACTCTACACTACAGGAACACCCAGGTTATCACAAGGGATGCATTCCTAAAAGTCATTGTGATTAATGAAACTGCAAATATCAGGGCAATTTTTCCCCATAAGAATTAATATAAATAGGGTTTGATGCGTTCCCAGCCGGCAACTTTCACAACATATTTTTCGATATATACACCTTATCATCCCAGGCTATTAGCAACCACTATAATACCAGTAAATGTGAGAAATAAATAAAAATTATACTAATAAATAAGATAAATGACAAAATACTGCATTGAGCGATCACACGAGTAGATGCGCTATCTTGGTGTAGCGGACAAACGTATGTGTTTTCTTTGATATGTCCCATGTAGATGTGTGAAGTGTTCTCGAACGACCAGGAAGCGGGAACTAGACGCGCGACCTGGAAGCAGCACTAAAATATTTTGATCATCTCTTCCTCAGTCGTGTGAGTCCTCGTATTCTACACCAAACTAAAGAAGGCTATACTTTCATTTACCACCGCTAACAGCTTCTTCTTTCCAAGAAATAGTTCCTTGTAGACTAATAAAGTAGCTGCAAAATGTTTCTCTTGCATTCTTTGCAAAAGAATGTGAAGCATTGTTTATTCTAGAGGGTGCTGTGTTATTCTTGAATTGCATATGACTGCGTCTGTGTCAATGATAATATTATGGAAAAGTGTAGCACACTTTACAATGTCAATAGCAGTATCTACCTTTGTTTCAATAGCTTTATTTAAAAATTTTCATTTTTCAAATTCCAAATGGACACTCTACGACACTCCTGGCATGTGACAATCTGTAATTAATTTTTTCTTTGCTCAGAGTATTCCTAAGATAGGGTTTCAACAAATATACATAGTGGGTAGGCCTCGTCCCCAATTGGAATACATTTTGGTGTACTCGTGAAACTTCTTTGGATCTTGGCGAAGTTCCTTGTAGAGATGGTGAATTTCTCCTACTTCCATCTTTCTCTGATATATGGAATGTTTTTTCCTGGGTACCTCTGCAGGTAACACACATTGAAATTCTTTATTTTCTAAAAGTGCCAGCAAACGCCTGTGATGCATAGAAGACATGTTTACGCTGGCACGATTCTGGTAGGTTGAACACAGGTCGCTTTGGAAAGTACTGTAGGTCGTGTGTCTATGTCCTGGCTGCTTAATGCTGCAGGATGCTCTCACAGCAAGTCACATGGGACATAGCCCACCACTGCCCCTTCCTCATACAGTTTGGGCGACTCCAGCCAGAGGTCGTAAAAAGTGTTCATATCTTGATTTTTTTATCTTCTGAAATTTTTGTTTCCACATTCGACAGGAAGAGTGTGTGTGTGCATGTAACAAGAGTAAAAACAAAACAAAAACATAAATCTACCCCAAAAATACGAGTTGAAAAATAACAATAGCCAGCTTCCATCACCCACACATCCCAACATCACACACACACACACACACACACACACACACACACTACATCCTTGACCACCGTCGGGCCAAGACCTATTCAGGCGCTGCTCCAACTGAGCAACGGCCCCCCTTGGCCATGTCGGCCCATTCCTGAAGTCCCTCTCCCCGACCCATCCTCACCACTGGGATATCAACATAATTAAAAGTGACAATTTCGTTTCGGAAAGAAGTGGGATCAGTGTTGAACAGTGATGAACAATGTTTAAAATGGTGAATTCAGCACTAGACAGTACCAGTGAGAGCTGTGACCCACCACTGTGATAAGCACCCCTGGGAACCATCCTCTGACCAGATGGTTTTAATCCATCCACCCTGGGAACAACAGCGGGCCGGCTTTACACCTGACTACGAGATAACACAACACCACCCAGCAGAGTGAGGTACTGTGACACCACCCCACACCACACGGTGTCTCTATGACCACGTAAGGTCCTTCATATTAACACGAGGACGAGTTACGACACCACGTGAACACCACACCACCTGGTGTCTCTATGACCACATAAGGTCCTTCATATCAACACCCAAGGACGAGTTACTGTACCACGTGAACACCACACCACCGGGGGTCTCATCGACCAGCCCAGGCCCGAGCCATCAACTGTAAACTACAATAATTTCTTAGTTCAATCATTGTTCCTTCTCCTTTCAGTAATGGAAACGTATTAAACGACCCACCTACCCCATGTCTTTGTATGTGATAAGTCATTTTTGACCAATGTATATTTTCAGCCTTCGGGCTGCAGAACTTTTTCAATAAACCATTAATTATTATATAATTATTATTATTATTGCACTCATCAACATCAAAAGTACACACCCTCCAACAACACCCACACAGCGTGTGGGCCACACACCCCAACAAAGGAATTAACAGAGAAATGCGTCTAAAATCAGGGTGATGACTGCTGTTGTGATGTGTTCCTGGTTTAGTGCTTTGTTTTATAATATAATATTAAGTGTAGGTCCAATTGTATGACAAATTTGTGTATGCTTAACTGATGTACAAGTGTGTGACTGCATGGTGACGTGTTAAATATGAGCTGTTGAGGAGCACTTGGCAACACTCCTTCCACTCCATCTCTCTAATCACCCACACCTTTCTGCTTTCTCATGCCATATTTTGAAATACAGAGGGATCTATAAATACGAGCATTCGTTATACGAGAATTCAATGATGTGAGATTAAGGAATTTGTACCTTATATTCGCTATACAAGCAATATTGTTCGATGATGCGAGAAACGAGTACAGTGAGTACTAGGGTTAATTATACTACAGACTTTTTCCTGTGAAAAAGCCATAATTTTGAGCAACTTATTAATGTACACACTTTGTACTCAAATGAACTATACTAAAGGACTAAATTTTTTATCTCTTGTGTAAACTATGTGATATTTGTACTAAACTTAATCACTATCTTACAAGCATTCCAGCAATGCAAGTTATATTTTTTAAGTTTAGTCTGTGACATTTTATGAGATTAAAACCACCTTTACCCTGGCTGGGATGATGGGAGAGGGAGAGGTGGGGTTTTGATAGCTGGCGGCGAAGGTTACCTAGTGCGTATTTAAATAGTCATATAAAGGGAGTTAAAATTTTCACTAAGAAAATGTCACTGAATTTACTTGGCAGAATATAACTTACATTGCTGGAATTCTTGTAAGATAGTGATTAATTTAAGTAAAAACATCCCATAGTTTGCACTAGACATATATATTTTTTTAATTAACTTAGTACATTTGAGTACAGGTTTGCCCTTAAGGCAATTATTTCTTTTACTTTCTTCACAATATGCATTTAGGATGGTGTGTGCATGTAAATGAGTAAAAATAAATTAAGACAGTTACGTAAATCTGTAGGTTATGTATCTAAGCTACTGTGCCGAGTAGCAACCTTGTCTATAAGCTACTGTGCCGAGTAGCAACCTTGTCTATAAGCTACTGTGCCGAGTAGCATTTATATATGTAATTACGTGGCAACACTGCACTTGTTATGTGGCAACATTGCCCCAAGGCTGCCATATGGCAATGCAGCCTCAGTCTGACTCCGTGGGTCGTGCATGTCACTTCATTTGCACGCGGCTCACTACTTGTATCTCTCCCTATCCGTTAATAAATGGACTTCAGTGTTACCCGGTGTTTCCCTACCCATCACTGCCTTCTTCAGGGAACACTTGGAACCTTCATGGCGCAGTGAGTAGGATCTGTGGACTTACAAGTGTTGTAAAAAATGCCGACAGTTAGCCGGCGATGTGCTTGTCGACTTTAGTGTGTTGTGTTGTGTTGCGTTGTGTTTCGCCGCGACGTGCAGTGTTGCGCTGTCACAGTGCGTTTCAGTGACGGTGGCAGTGTTAGTGTCAGTGTATTAGTGAGTCTAGAGCTGAGAGTTGAGCATTGGCCTGTTTTTTGTGGTATCCACGGAGCGCGCAGGCGTACACCCTTCTCGTGTGACATCCGGGGAGACACTAACGTCTTACCTCCGCTGTGGCTCTAGCCACCCGCATTAAGGCCACCACGATCTGCTCTCTCAGACACACACACACACACACGCATGCATGCACGCACTCACGGACAGAACAGTGGACTCTATGCGTTATTTTTGCGCTGTTTATGTCATATATATGTGGTTCGAGCTGATGAGGCGCCACTTTATATACTAAACAGCGCAGTTCAAGCATACTAAGATGGGCAGTAAGAAGGGACAACGTCAAGATGGAAGTCACGACTCCCCACCTCCCCCTCTACCGGGCACAGATGGAGCTTCTGCGCCCACCGCACCTCATCCTTCACCTACAGCGACGGACATTGCCACAATTCTGAGGTGGATGGACGACAGGGACGAGAGACGCAGAGAGATGGAACTTCAGAGGGAGGAGATACAAAGAGAGGAGGAAAAGGCGCGCTTTGATGCGATATTGAGGACCCTGGCGCTAACCCACCCTCCCTCACTCGCAGGTAGCGCGCATCAAGGCGCCAATACCCTCCCTCCTCCACCACACCAGCGTCCTCCAGGCACTCTTGCTACTCCAACAGCTCC